TGATCTGGATACTGTCTCTCACTACCCTCGTCTGGATCTTGCTTCATTATTCACCCAGCTCCCTAAATTCTCTCTACCTCAATTTCTTCCTCTTTCCCAACTCTTTCCACCCCAGGAATAAGTGAATGTTCCAATCTCTTCACAGGGGGAAGAAACCCCCAAAACCCTCCTTAATTCTATATTCTAAGTCTCTCACTCTCACAATCAAATCCTTAAAATAGCCTATCCTATCAATTTAATCTAAGTATCCCTGGGACTCAACATAGTTCATTTTCTTTGCAACCTAACTCAGGTCATTATCTCTCATCCAGAACATATTACAACTAGAATGCTAATTAAGTACATATGGTAAAAAAAAACTTGAGAGTTCCTTCTTATATATAAGCACATCAAAACTCAATGAGGTGTGATTCAAAAGCAAAAAAGTATTCTTCTTTAAAAAATTACTGTAATATTATATATAAGCAAGTTATTTAATCACCCTAGGTTTCAGATTACCAGCAGTAGTTGGTAATGAAAAGTGAGAGATATACCTAAGGACCTTTTGAACACTTAACATTCATTCTATCGTTCCACGTCAACTAGACATAGATAGCTCACATCTCCAAATATGCACCATACTTGCTATATTCAAGACGTTACTGGTGCCAAAAGAAACAGGCTGATGTGTCTACTTTGCAGCCAAAATACATCAAGCATATGCTAATTTCCACCTGTTTCAAAAACCAAAGCCACAACTGCAAGTGTTAAAGAAATAAAATGTAAGCAAAAGAAAAACTTAAGAAAAATTATAATGAAATTGATTATGTATATAAAAATGCTATTTCAAGATAATTTCTTCAGGAATCAAGCAACACAGAACAATGAGTTCCCAACAAAATGATTACACTGTAAACCATTCTGACAGTCAATAACAGCATGAACAAAATTTTCTCTATATCCACAGAAGAGCTGAGTGGGCATTGTACAATAGTAAAAGTAACACACCAACACAATATATATGCAATATGACATCATTAAAAGTTTCAGCATCTGTTTGCAAAGACAAGGCTCTCAAAGAAAGATAATATGAGCTAAGCTGTGAAAATGCATTCTGAATCTATTAAAATGTTATCACCACAACCAAATGAGCAGCACCTGTTAACCTGTTGGGTTCAGTTGCTCTTCCATTGCCTACTAAGCTCAAAAGTAATGCTCTGTTTTAAAGAGTGAATAAAAGGAGTGTATAGTGGAACAGTGTGGTAGGCAAAACAATTTCCACTGCAAAGTCGATATTAACATGTCAACTCATAATTTAGGATAAATCAACTCCGGAGTTACACATCCTGAGTTCAAATTCCAATTTCACCACCTCTCAGCTTTGTAATTTTAACAATTCATAGAATTTCTCAGTGCCTCAGTTTCTACATCTGTAAAACAGATCAGTTGTAGTATCTAGTAGTTTTTCATAGGTAGGTACTTTATAGATAAAGATAGCATTTTATAGTTAAAATGCTTGCTACAATGCCTGGCATACTGTAAACACCACATATATACTAGGTTATTATTTTTATTATTTTCTTTACTCACTTTAATTAAATATTAGATGAAAAAAGTAACACTCTAATGTAAGTCCAGGTCCAGTTTAACATTTTTTATCAGTTATTTTGTCCATAGTTCAATAACCATGTTATGTTAGTTGCTAATCACCAAATCAAATCAAATCACCAAATACTAAGTTCACAGTCAAATCAAATCACCAAATACTAAGTTCATATCATATAAAATGAAAAGTCTAAAAAAACTTAATTTGATACACACCAGAGTTCAGTATATGGTATATACATACAATAAAATATTATTGGTCATAAAAAGTCATGAAATTCTGATACAAAGAATAAATAATATATGATTCCACCTATATGAGGTATTTAAATAGGCAAAATCCATAGAAAAAGAGAGTAGAATAAAGATTACTGGGGTTTAGGGTAGAGTGGGGGTATGGCTCAGGGAATGGGAAGTTAGTGTGTAATGGGTACAGAGTTTCTATTTAGGATGATAAAGACATTCTGGAAGTGTACAATGGTGATAAGCAAACATTGCAAATGTGCTTAAGGCGAATGAATTGTAAACTTAAAATGGTTAATAGTAAACTTTATGTTATGTATAGTTTACCACAATAAAAAAAAATCTTTAAAAAATATAGCCTATGTTTTCAAGAGGAAATTTAAGATGAGTGTCAAAAATAAAGTATGGATCACTTATTCTCAAGTTCGAACTATGGACACCAACTAAAAGTTGGTATTGAAAATGGGCACATATCAGTTTGTTGGGTTTTTTCTCTCCTTGAAGAAGGAAAGAAAACTACACTGAGGAGATACCTTTATGTGTGGCCAGTGCACAGTGGTGGTTTTATAAGGAGATTCTTATCCATATCAAATCATGATAATATGAGTGCAATATTATACTGGCCCATAAATGGGCATGTAATCAACTGATATTCAATTCAAAAGTAGAGAAGCTTCCCATGTAATGGTAAGCCATAGTTTAAAACACTGGAATATCTTCCAAATTCAAAACAAAAATTAAATCCATTGCTTTGATACATATAATAAAGTGAAATATTTGAAATCTCCACTCGAAACACCCCAAGAAAAAGGCATATTGCATTACAAGACATAATGAAAATGAATTTAATAAATTAACATTTTCCCAAAATGGCTTATATTAAGGGATTCAAGCTGGGATAATTTAATTCTCTAGTAAACTCATAAATACCATATATCAAATATCATTCAAGGAATAACAAAGAATTTTCAAAGAACTAAAATGTAATTTTCAAAGAACCTAAGGCCAAAACCAGACAAAAAATATTAAGAAACACTTATATGACTCTTATAATATGCCTGGTTTACTCTAAGTTTTTATGTATATTAATTCATTTTACCCTCACAACAAACTTCTGAGAAAAGTTCTCTTAGAATTCCCATTTCACAAATGAGAAAACTAAGGTGCAGAAGGGTCAACACTCAAGCCCAGGTTCATTGTGCTGCTAGGAAATGGCAGAATGGCAGAACTTGGTTCTGAATCCTGGAAATGTCCTGACCCTTCTTTTAATCACTATATTTTACTGTCCCTTGATGACATTAAGGAATGGACTACAAAAAATACAGGCAAACCCAAAATGGAAAGCAATCTGGAGGTCAAATATAATAAAAGTTCTGAGGAAATCAACATATTAAAACACAACAAAAATTAATTATATTCAAAATGATTGCTCTGAGACATAAGGGAACCTTAAGATCTGTTCAGTAGATTTGGTGTTTAAGAAAGGAAGGAATTTTTTAGTACCTTAAAAAAAATTCCACCCAAAACAATCAAGATGATTTTCATTTTTAAAGGGGTAAAACTCAACTATCCAAAATTACTCATTCCCCAAGGGCTCCAAACATAAGGGTTATACTGAGCAATCTTATTTGCCATTTATCTCATTCTTAAGAAATGATGATAATGAGTATGTATGTGTCTGTGTGTGTGTAGGGTGATGATAAATTAAGCTTTCTGGGTGTTTTAATTCCAGATTTATACAAGAACTTAATACTAAAAGTATTAGTGTCAAATCATTTGAATAGATGAGTAAAGAAACTCATAGAATTGTTTGTGACAATAGTAAATGGCCTAGAATTTACTAATGGTAATTTAAAAAAAAAGAAGAAATACAGACTTTGAAGTCATCCACAGACCTAAACTTAAATCCTAGCTCTGCTATTTAGTTACTGTGAATTTTTGGCAAGTTAGTTTCACATAACTGAGTCTCAGTTTCCTCCTCTGTAAATTAGGGATAATAATTCCTAACTCACAAGGTTGTTGTATGAGTTAAGATGAAAACACAAGCAATAGTTGAACACAGACAGGGGATGTGGCAGAGAATCAACAATGAGCAACTACTATTATTCCATAAACTTATTCTATTTTGTCCCCCAAAGATTCTAAGAACCTAATCTTACCAATCTAATTGACAAGGTCATTTATAGGGTACTAAAAAATGAAACACACGAGGGCCTCCCCTGGTGGCTCAGCGGTTGAGAGCTGGGATGTGAAGCTGCCCGCAGCCTCTGCAGCCCTGGTTCGTTCCCCCACCGCCGGCGAGGGTCCCACAAAAAAAAAAAAAAAAAAAAAAAAAACCCGCACAAAAAATACAAAATGAAACCACGAATAAGATGAAAGATTTCTTAATCCTATTTCTCCTCTCATATCTATTCTGGTTGGCTTTGTAATGACTTGTATTCCTACATCAGATTAATCCCAGCGCTAATTTATTTTGATAGCTATCTTTGCAAGATACAAAGGATCATTGCTCGAGTCTAAAAGAAATCCAGGGTCAAGGAGCATTATCATGAAATTCCGTAACTGTTCCATCTCAACACTGACTGGGTGCATGTGGATCATTTCTTATGACAACTGATTCTCACATTACAGCAACAATCCCTTAATGCCTCCCCCCACACCCCTGAGGCGTTAATGAGCAAAACTCCAGACTGACAGAGAACAAAATTCAAAATTTGGTGCTCTCAGTAAGGATTCTCCAGGTAGAGGAGGTGCATGGGTTTCACTGCTCTCGAAAATGAACAGAATCTGTAAGTATTCTGTCTCTTTAAACAAGATTAGGGCTGGGAGCAAAGGGGAGGGTAAAGAGGGCTGGGAGGCAGGCGAGAAAGGAGGCGGCAACTCCAAGCTGAGGAAGGGTCGGTGGACCAAGGAGAGGAAAGTCACCGCCCATTGCCAGCCCAAGAACGCCGGCGGAGAGAAGTGGCCGCTTAGTCCGGTCCCCCGGACTGATGGGTTCAGTCCCCGGATTCCGGGAGGACTGACAAGGACAAGCGTTCTCCGCGGTCCTGGCTAAGGTTAAGGGTAGGAAAGGGCGCCCGATCGCCTTGAGAACGCGGATGTTACAGTCCCCGCCGCCATCCCGACGCTAGAGAAGAGGAAGGCAGCGACCCAAACAGGAGCTCACTGGTTACCTGTCTCAGCCGCCGGGCCACCGGTCTCCACTTCCGCAGACTCGGGGTTACCACTGGCGACCTGGGCACGTGCCAGGCGACGTCATCCACGCGCGCCCTGACCGCAGTCCGCCTGGCCCGCCCCTGGAGGAGGAAGAGGAAGAGGAGCAGGAGGGGAGGTCTGCGCAGGCGCAGAGTTGCCAGGCCCTGGGAAACCGCGGAGAGCTTGTCTGCTTTGGGCAGCTGTAGGATTATCGAGTTACCCCCACTAAAAATAATTCTAAATTGCTAAATCTGACGAGTTTAAGAAAAAATTTGATATTTAAATACAGAAGCACACGTTTCATTTCTATTTTACTCGTTTCAGCTGTGATTGTTGACATATTCCACTACATTAAAATCCTACTGAAAATAGAATTTTAAAACTTTGAAGTCAAGAACAGTGATTCTAATATTAACAAGTCATTATAAAGTTGGTTTCCATTCTCTTTTTGATTATTCAGTGTAAAAATTAACTCAGAAAACTGGAAACGTATGCATTTAAAACTGTATATGACAATTGCAACAGAAGCCAAACAACTGGATATGAAGTATCTTGTTTTTGTGAGTCACTCACAATACCAATCGTGGTCATGCTTCAGCTGACACTTTACATTGTTTTATTTGTACTCATAAGAATAAAATCCCATTCATTCCTTCATATTTCTACCTGTTTTTCATGACTGTGCAGGAAAAGTTAGGTTTTACAAAGTAAATTGTTATGAAAAATATAATTAAATACTTCACTTAAGTAACTGCTTTATAAGATAAAGCTTTCAGGAGTACAGTCATATAATCAACATCTGTATATACTATATTATATTCACCAGTAGAATTTTCATTTCCTCCATCACCATATAGTTGACCGCTTTTACATAATTAACCCACTCACCCCTCACTCCTTTCCCTTCTGGTAACAACTATTTTATTCTCACTGTTTGAAAGCTTGTTTTTGTTTTGTTTCATTTGTTCATTTTGTTTCTTTGCCACAATTGAGTGAAACAGGGTGTTTATTTTTCTCCATCCAGTTTATAGTACTTAGCATAACACTCTCTCCGTCCACCTATGGTGTTACAAATAGCAGAATTTCACATATATATGCAAGTATATTTGCATATCTGTGTGCGTGTGTGTGCGTGTGCGTGTGCGTGTGTGTGTGTGTGTGTGTGTGTGTACACACAGAGAGCGCACTGAGGAGTATCCCAAATTAGTTCTTAGCGAAACAGATTCTGGTTAGGTAGACAGCTTCCAGCGTATTAGCTTATTGTGTGTTAATCTTTAGCAACTACCTCCGACTCCTGTATTCAACAGATAGAGGCTCCCTAGCAAGCTAACCATTTCAGGGGTACCTATTCAGATGCTCCTTCCTATTACTGCAGGGAAGTTTCCTGCTTTCCTATCGCTATATAAACTCTCTAAAACTCACTTTTTGTGGCCGGTGTCTCCAAGTTTAGTAGCAGGAGACAAGAACTCCCCAAAAACGATGCATCATTATGTTGTCTCCAACTTTTGCTTATTATGCTGCGATCAACATGGAAGGGCATATATCTCTTCAAAGTAGTGTTTTTATGGTCTTTGGGTAAATATCCAGCAGTGGGATAGCTGAATCATATAGTACTTGTGTTCTTGGTTTTTAGAGAATGTCACCATGCTGCTTTCCATAATGGTAGCACAAACTTACATTCCCAATAATGTATAAAAGTTCCCTTCTATTCTTTCCTTGCCAAAACTTGTTTCTTATCTTTTGAGTAATAGCCATTCTTATGGGTGTGAAGTGGTACATTGTTGGTTTTGATTTATAGCTTCCTAATAAGAGATGATGAAAACCTTATCATATTTCTGTTGGTCATCTATGTCTCCTGTCTATTCAGATCTTCTGCCCATTTTTAATTGGATTATTTGCTATTTTGCTGTTGAGCTTGATGAGTTCTTTATATATTTTGAGTATTAACCCCTTGTCTGATGTATGAGTTGCAAATACATCCCATTCAGTAGGTTATCTTTTCATTTTGAAGATACTTCTTCATCCAATCATCTGCCAATGGGCATAGGTTGTTTTCAATTCTTGGCTATTGTGAGTAATGCTGCAGTGAACAAGGGGGTTCATGTAACTCTTAGAATTATTCTTTCATATACTTTGGATAAATACCTAGAGTAAGATAACTGACTCTTATGGGATTTCTATTTTTAAGTTTTTGAAGAATCTGTCTATTGTTTTCCATATTGGATGCACCAGTTTACACTCACATACAGTGTATAGGGTTTACCTTTCCTCCACATCCTCATCAACACACATACTCACAGTTTGTGAGGTGATAGCATAGTGCTGTTTTGATTTGTATTTCCCCAATAATACGAGATAATTAACATCTTTTCTTGTGGCTATTGACCATCTGTATGTCTCTTTTGGAGAAGTGTCTATTCAAATCCTCTGCCCACTCTTGGTTGTTTATTGTTGTTGAGTTTTGTAAGTTGTTTTTTAATGTATTTTGGATATTAACCCTTTGTCAGATGTATGATTACCAATATCTTCTCCCATTCAAAATAGAATGCCTTTTTGTTTTGACAATAGGTTATTTTGCTGTTCAGAAGCTCTTTAGTTTGATGTAGTCCAATTTGTTTATTTTTGCTTTTGTTTCCCTTCCATTGGTATAGAATACTCAAAGACACCTATAAGACTTATGGCAAGGAGATATCACCCATAATTCCTTCTCTGAATTTTATGGATTCAGGTATTTCATTCAGGGTTTATTTCACTTGAATTGTTTTCTTTTTGTATTGTCTTAGTGACCTAAGTTTTATCCTTTCACAAGTAGTTATTCAGTTTTTCCAATGCAGTTGAAAAGAATTTCCTTGCTCCATTTTATTCCCTTAACTCCTTTGTCATAAATTAGTTTCTGTATATGTGTAGGCTTTATATGGGCTCTCTCTATTCTGTTCTACTTATATGTGTATCAGTTTTTTATTTTAATATTATGTGTTTTGATTACAATAACTTTATTGTATAATTTTAAGTCAGGAAGCATAATACCTCCATTTCTGCTCATTTTTCTCAGGATGAGTTTGGCTATTTGTAGTCTTTTGTAGCTCCAAGTACTTTTATGTTCTTTTATTGTAGTTCTGTCAAGACTGCTATTGAAATTTGCATGAGGATTCTATCAATTGCTTTAGGTAATACAGCCATTTTAATGAAGTTAATTCTTCTAGTCCATGAGCATGGAATAGCTTTTCATTTCTTTGTGTCTTCTTCCATTTCTTTCATCAAAATGTTATAGTTTTCATTGCACTTCTTTGGTTAAATATATTCCTATTATATGTGGGATTATTTTCCCGACTTTCTCTAATATTTTTTTATTTGCAGAAGTATCAGATTTTGTTTATTGATTTTGTAGCTAACCACTTTGCTGTATTTGTTTATGATTTATATAGTTGTGGTTTTTTTTAACCAGTGTCTTTGGGATTGTCTATGTATATTATTACTTCATATGCAAACAGTAATAGTTTTACTTCATTATTTCCTTTACTTATCCAGTTGTTCTGTCTAAGACTTCCAATACTATGTTAAATAATAGTGGTGGGAGTGATCATCCTTGTCTTGTTCTTGATCTTAGAGGGAACACTTTCAATTATTCACAAGTGAGGATGATGTTGGCTTTGTTCCCTTTATACCCATTTTGTTGAGAGTTTGTATCATAAATGAATGTTGAATCTTGTTTAATTATTTTTTTCTGAGTCTATTGAGTTGATCATATAGGTTTTGTTCTTCTCTTGTTAAAATGGTGTATCATGTTAATTGTCCTGTGTATTAAACCATACTTGCATCCCTCGTATAAACCACAGTTGATCATGGTGTTTGATTCTCTAAACATATTATAAGATATGACTTGCTAAGGTTTTGTTAAGGATTTTTCCTTCTATGTTCACCAAAGGTATTATTGTTGTGTGGTTTTCTTTTTTTTCTGATGTTCTTGTTTGGCTTTGGAATCAGGGTAACATTGACCTCATAAAATAGTTAGGAAGATTTCCATCCTCTTCAAAAGCTAATAAAGTATTGTACACTGGAAATTTGCTAAGAGTGTAGATATTAAGCTTTCTTTCCTCCTCCACACCCAAAGTAACTATATGAGGTGATGGTTTTAGTAATCATTTCACAAAATAAATGTTGTATAATACAGTTATATACAATGAAGTATTCACAATTTTTGTTTATCAAACATACCTTAATAAAGCTGGAAAATGTATTAGATATGGTCATATAATAGTATACTATATAGCCACTTCAAGTGTAAAACAAAACAAAAACCCCACTCAACCTTTCCACTGGAATACTTCTTATCAAGGTCACCTTAGTCTCTGCATAATTAAATTCAATGGCAATTTCTCAGTAATTTTAAGTTCCCCTCCTTTTTTGCACATGCATTGCTCCATACCTTTACCAGGACTTTAGCCATGCTGTTTCTTCTGCCGGTAGATCCTCTCTTTTGCTTCAAATAGTTCACTTCTATTTTTTCCTCACCAATCTCCCTTTTACAATCTTTTCTCCTTCTTCCCTCCTTCCTCCCTCTCAAAAAAAAAAAGATGTCACCAAAAGCTATTAGAAACAAAAATACAAGTGGCAGTTCACAAAATCAACATAGAAAAATCTGTCATGATTTTTGTACAATGCATGAGAGGAAAAAAAAATTAAGGAAATAATTCCATTCTCAACCACTTTTAACAGAATCAAATACCTAGTAAGTAACCTAACCAAGATGAAGGAATTATACAATGAAAAGTACAACACATTATTAAAGCATATAGGAGATGACATAAGGAGAAAGAAAAACATTCCATACTCTTACATGTTATACATGACATAAGGAGATAGAAAAACTTTCCATACTCTTGCAGGGGAACATCAGTATAATCAAAATGACTATCCTATCTAAAGCAATATATAAAATTAACACAATCTCCAATAAAATTCTGACAATATTCTCCAAAGAAATTGAAAAAAAAATTAAAATTCATATGAAATGATA